CCTGCTGCAACATCTCACCTCCATGAACTGGATCAAAACTGCACCTGTAGAAACTGATAAACCAGAAAGAGAAGAAAATCAGCGAGCAGGGTAAGGAGGGAGACAAAAAATTGGTCCAACTATTTAAAAAAGCATCGAACTAACTAATGTTGTATGTCATTCTCATTCAGGTCTTTGGTTCAGGGTTAGATTTGTCATTTAACGTCCTTTGGGGTTAAAGCCATCCATGAATCCAGATATACCATCGAGGAATATTTACTTGACCATAGTTCCAAAACTTTTAGGCAAGTGAACATAAACACACACTCGCACTCGTACAAAGAGAGGCGATACCTCCCATCCAAGCCAACAATGATGACTGTGTTCTGTGAACCAAATGCGGTAATGAATTGAGTGTCTTCTGGCAAGTGGAACTGAGCAAATGACCATTCTGAGCTAAAATATTTGGGTAAAACCCCTGCAAAATTGTTCACAAGGATTATATATTTTTAGAAGAAAACGCTTGAAGAAGCATTCAAGGGGAAAAAATTGCAAAAGAACTCCAAACCAAAGTTCAGAAACATGAGTTAATTTTAGAGAAGTAAACGTGTATGCCCCTCAAACACTTAGAGCAGAGATGCAAAGTATCCAAGCAGATGACTCATAGTAACTCCAAAGTCTTGAAAATTATCTTTTGGCACATTGCCTTACCTCTCATGAAAGACAATGATGAACTAGAATTAGCACCAGTGTTTTGAGAAATAAGAGGATCTAGGGCATTTGACGAATTCTGCTGAAACATTGCTGGCCCTTGAGCAGAATTTGAATGGGCGGACAAATCCTCCCCAAATACTCTAACTCTGAGGCTGAATATATGGACAGTACCTTTGTCACTTGATGCTGCCAACCACTGGACGTTCGGAGAAAGAGCAATACTGTAAATTTCTGCTCTGTCCACTCCTCTGCGTACCTACATGGAGGCAAGAGATAAATATATGCAGTGTTTTCCTTCAGAAAGACACTTACCAGTAGGCGCCACTTCTCCCATACATAAAAGAATATATATTTATACTAGAAAATTATGGAGAAATACAAATAACCTTTGTTCTATTCAGTACTTCACAGCATGTTACTGTAAGTACTGAATCCCCAGCCATTCATCATAAACTTGAAGAACAATAATATTCACAGTGCAATATGCTACCTCTTGTAAGCGAGTCCCATCCATTGTGTTGAAGATTCTTATCAAAGTCCCCTTTGTACTAGCAGTAGCAAGAAGCAGTCCATCCATTGTTAACGTGAAGCATGCAATATGAGAATCATGAGCATTTATTAACTTTGTCATGTTCAGCCCAAAATGTTCAATCCGAACTTGTCCTCGTTGAAGGCCTGGGCAAGCCAGCACAGATGTATTTGGATGATGTGAAAGGCAGCACAATCCCCTAGGATTTGCTACAGTCTCAATCTGATGCAGCAGCTTCAGATCCATAAAGTTGTAAACGTATATCTTGTGCTCAAGAACAACAACTATGCGATCACGCCTTAATCTTACTGAACGAACCTCAGACCTGAATGAAAACTCACCAATACATCGGCTCTGATGATCATCCCAAATCATAACCTTGTTAGGTGGATATTGGGAATTGTCTCCACTTCCAACAAGTACGAGAATGTTGCATCGAAACAGCATCTCCACAATTTTGAATCCCCCACTTTTCAAATCACGTCTAAAAGTTTCCTTGAAAGGCTCGCAGTTAAAGATACGAAAACCGTTGCTTGTGCCTGCAGAAAAGCAACCATAGTCCTGATTCCAGGATACAGAGAGTAACTCTGTTTCACCGTCATCGATGTCTGGTTCAAGCTGGCTAAAAGAGCCAGACGCCCCAGCATCTGGCGATTCATATGTGCCAAGCCTTGCAGGCGAATGTATTCCTCGAGATGTTGAAACTGTTGAACTCATGAGGGAAGCAGGCACACGTCTAAGCAATCGCCACAATCAATAATCGTGAGAAACGATAGATAGCCTGCACATACAAAATGAATAAAGATTAATTCTGCCATTGCCAATACCAAATTCCACCTAGGATGCTTCAAATAGAAGAAAAGAGTTGACATCGGATGCTAAAGCTGTGGAGGGAGGGGAACAATTGCTCATAAGGAGCAAAACACAACAAGTTCTCAAATACAAAAGGGACCAGATCCAAAGAATCCAGAAACATAAGAATGATTGTTCTGCAGGGAAGTATAAAGTTAACAACATCATCAAACTGAAAGCCTCTAAGGAAGCTAAGAAGGGATGAATCAGATCAAATGCTAATTCAATATAAACAATAAGTTTCTAGAAAAAGCACAAACTTGTAGAATGCTATATCAATTATCAACCTTGTGAAGAAACCCACAACGCCCCTCCTCTTTTTCAGAGCAAATCTCCAATTCCCATTACCAAATTCACCAAATTTTATTCATAACTTAGAAAATCTCCATTAGAATAAGCACATTTTCCATAGAATTGTCATCAACAATCAAGCAATCACAAGACTACGGGCTAGTAAATCTCGACCACCAGAATGACAAACAGAAATCATATACGAAAAATGAAAAACCATTGCGAATTTTTCCGAACTTACACTTTCAGCAGCCTTTCACAATGATCAGCGGAAGTTCAAATCCTTCGTACAGCTGCAAATCTTCCATCGGAAGAAAAAAAACACAAATAAGAAAGTAATTATATAAAAGGAAGAAAGAGAAAAAGAGGGGACTGGCATAGCATGAAACCAACGGAATGAAATGGAATCGAAATTGCATTCAGAGCGAGAGTCAATTGCTGAATTTCATTCAGAGCGAGAGTCAATTGCTGAATTTCGATGACTGACCTTCTCTGATCTGAGACAGACGGGCCATAGCGGCCGAGAAGATGACAACGATACGTCTGCGTTTCCTTTTTAAAAAATTTCTCTTATTTTTCTTCCCCTCTTTTTTGTGTTGTGTGCCCTAGTCTACGTAGACGACATTGCCACGCCAATGTATCATTAATTTAATTAAGAATTAGCTAATATTAGTTGAACACTTGCAATCACCAATGATGATGATTTAGAAGATTATTACTTGATCCTATCCAAAGGGAGCAGAAATTACTTGTCGCCAAACGTTAGCCCCTGTAATGCTTAAAGAGCATTTTCTTTGCAGAACTTTTAGAAACAATTTGAAGTTGCATTTACAAGGTAATACAATTTGTTGGATGTGATATTTTATTTTCTTAATCATATATAAATGTTAATAGATAATTATTTTACATCATTTTTGCTTTGTATATAGTTATATGTAAACTTGTGAATAAATAAGTTTATTATTGATGAGCGATAATATACTGAACTTACACTACACGATGCTAAGACTCAAACTTATGACATTTCCGGGAGCATAGATTCTTTGTATACAGAAATTGGATTTTAGTTGAAAAAAATTGTTGTAATTTAGTGGGAATGAGGTCAGTTGTCGTCTAGATAAGCATATAATGGGGCTCATCATTATTTCCTAAATTTATTGTAAAAAATACTCCTCCTTTAGATTTTAATTTTATTATATATAATAAAAACACTATTTAAAATTTAACCCTTTTGATTATATTCTGTGTTTTTCACTAGAAAAATGAAACCGTGTAAAACTCGTATTAAAAGTTTTAAGTAATCCCAAAAGAAGTATAGGATTCTTAAAAGGTTTAAGTGATCCCAAAAGAAGTTCAAATAGTTCCTTATTATTTAATAATGTCTTATACTCGGGTACAGAATATGGAGCACATCCGCTCTAACCAACTTGACTAAGTTCAAGTTTGTTCTTATTCTTTTATTTAAATGAAACCAAACTAATGCCTTACAACCACAAGAGCACACTTTGCCATCCATTCCCAAAAAACAAAAGAAAGAAAAAACAGAAAAAGATCCGTGTAAAAGAATAAACTTGAACTTTAGCCAAGCTGCGTCAATCAACCATTGGAGTTTGTAAGTACAGAGAAGAAGATAAAGAAAAATGGGACCACAGTGCATGCCTCGCCTGCAAGAAATTTACATGACCAACGTGAAACTCCCAAAGTTTCATTCATCTCTGCATTAAACAAATGCTGATTTCCAAAAGAGGAAGTTTGCCCGTTTGCTCCAATCTTCCCAAATATGGCAATCTACAGTGATCGCATGATCAACATTATCAGATTTTTACACCACTCACCGGCCATTTCCAACAAAAAAAAGACTTGAAAACAGAAACCCACCTCCAAGAAAAAGCTTTAATCATATATATATAATATAATCCTGGCTTTAATTTCCTTATTTGTTCCACACTTTTGTACTTTTTAAAGTCATTTTACGAGAGCAAACCCCTTCTCTGGTAATTAAATAAAAGACAGCAGCATAGAAGACCGAATGGCTGGCAGGCACAGCTCCAAATGAAATGAAAAATGCCAGAAAAAGGGTACAGCTTTCGATGAACACATGCAAGAATGAGAACCGAGGTCTTCAGCCTTCTGGCTTCACATAGATAAATATATATATGTATAAACAATACCAATTAAGAAAGCATACTTTTTCACCTGCGCAAACGCAGCCGCACGAGCCAATAGTTGAAGAAAACACGGTTAACTTTGTTGGAACTTTAATTTTCAGAGAAATATAATGTTAGGTTGCCTTCCACAAATCACTGCAGTGGTGGTGGGGGTGGTGGTCTGTGCATGGTGTTTGCTGCTGCATGTTATATACTGACATGTACTTTTGGACTTTCACAAGGGATCATGTATGTGCAAATTATACAAAAACTAGTGGTCTTTTTTAAGCATGCATTGCCTAAAAAAATGACAGATGCTTGTTTTTCTTCGAGTGAAAAAATTGAGGGAAAAAGGAGAGAAAAGTCGCTGGCTGACACTATTTAGAAAGAAGGGAATAAAGTAAATCGGGGGAAAAGCAACTGACCAGGTTTACTTGTCGGGGAAAAAAAGAGTATATATGAAGGGTGAAACAAAACAAATAGAGGACAAGGGAGAGCCTGTCATCTCTCTCTCAATAACCCAGCGGGCAACAGATATAACTTGATGGTAGGTCTTGGTAGGCCCCTCTTCTTCATATATATTATGCAGTAGCAGTACCAAACTGATTTATCAGATGCTTGCTGTGTGTGTAAATTGTAATGTATCTAACAAGCTAAATTATGCTGGCAGATTGTACATCTAAACACACATTGACCTAATTAATCAATTATCCAATGCCAAGATAACTCTTAACCCTGCAAGAAAAAATCAATTTCCCTATAGGTCTTCGATGCCATTAAGGATGTCCCGTTAATTAGTAAAGAGTACTAAACTAGTATAAACACATGATGATCGTAATGACGACGACAACGACTATTAACTCGAAGTGTTTGTGTAGTATGTGTTCCTAGATTATGGAAAAAAAGTGGAGGCAATGGAAAGGAGGAGCTCCCTTCAGTCCAAGCGCAGAGAAAGAGGGATGTAAAATATCTCCCGCTTCATTCACACAATCACAGTAGCAAATTGTTTGATGGTTTTTTTTTTTCTCACTCCTTTCGAATTTCTCTACTGAGTGCTTGAGTGAATGAGTCGGCAGCTACTTCAACAACCCTTAAAATCTTATCCATGAGTGGACTGAAGAAAGCTCTCTCTCCCCATTTCTTCAATTCTCTCATCACCCGTTTCTTTTCTGACATGCATTCTGACATGCATTACCAATAAAGCAAATCCCACCATGCAAAT